AACAAGAGGACTTTAGTGGTGTAGGAGACTACTCATGTAGTATTTGATGAATCTAATCCTAAAAAGTCTAGATTTGAGGAAGAAGATGAAGATGGAGAGATTACCCAAGGAGTAGAAAATATGAAGGAAATGGTAGAGCCTCAAAATACTGATGGAGTAGGTGAGATTACCTGAGGAGTAGAAAATAAAAATATGAATGAAAGGGTAAAACCTAGTCATACTTTACCTAGAGATTTGAGATATTCTTTAAGTCATCCTAAAGAATTGATCTTATAAGACCCTTCTGAAGGTGTTAGAATTAGGCATGAACTTAAGAAGAAAGTGAACCACTCAGCCTTTATCTCAATGACTGAACCCTCCAACATCAATCAATCCCTTTTAGATGAATTTCGGATCTTAACTATGCAAGAAGAACTTAATAAATTTCTAAGAAATGATGTTTGAGAGTTAGTAGAAAGACCTAAGAATTAAAGTGTAGTGGAAACCAAATGGGTCTTTAAGAATAAAATGAATGATTCTGACGTGGTGGTTAGGAATAAGCCGAGATTGGTAGCTAAGAGGTACAACCTAATAAAAGGGATTGATTTTAAAGAAACCTTTACCCCTATAACTAGATTGGAAGTCATTAGAGTGCTACTAGCATTTGGCTATTATAAGGGATTTAAGCTTTTTCAAATGGATGTCAAGATTGTCTTTTTAAAAGGGGTGATAAAAGAGGATGTGTTTGTAGAGTAACCCACAGGTTTTGAGAGTTACCAATTTCCAAATCATGTTTACAAATTAAAAAAAGGCCTTATATGGATTAAAACATGCACTAGAGCTTGGTATGAGAGGCTTAGCACATTCCTACTTGAGAGGGAGTTTGTTAAGGGGAGTGTAGACAACATCCTATTTCTGAGGAAATTTGATCATATGGGACGATCGAGTACGTACTGAATTGAAATTTTGTATTTTTTGGATGATTTTTCATGCATTTCTTATAAAATTTCCACTTAAAATTGTCTTGAAATTTTTTTGTCTATTGTTCTTCGTACAAACTAAAGGGAGATCGAAGGTGAGAGTGTGAGAGAGTGTTGAAGGAGAATTCTTACTACTGGAGCGTGAAGAGTTCACTTGGTACTCAAAGGTAAGGATCTTCATTTCTGAATTGTGATTACTTCACTCTTTTCTCTTGTCCTTCCAGATTTCTTATGAGAAGATCTTTTCAAAGGAGATCTGGTTCTCTGCCGATACTCAAGGAGTGTGAACAGTGGTAGGGTTCTCTGCCTACACTTGGAGAAGTGTGAAAGGATGAAGGTTCTCTACCTACACTTGGAGAAGTGTGAAAGGATGAAGGTTCTCTACCTACACTTTGAGAGTGTGGAGAGCAGAAGGTTCTCTGCCTACACTTAGAGGGTGTAAAAGGATGATGGTTCTCTGCCGCACCGTGTAGTGGTGGAAGAGAGTTGCTGTGTGGTAATAGTGCAATACTTAAAGTGGGAGACTTCAGGGAGTGGATGTAGGTCGTGTTTGATCGAACCACTATAAATCTTGTGTCTTTTATTTTCCGCTGCTTTTTATTTTACTATTTCTGTTGATCTGTGGTTGAATTTTTTTTTCAAAATTTCACTATAAATTTTTTATCGATTTAAAAATAAAGAGGAAAATTTTAAATTACCAATTCACCCCGCTCTTGGTTAGCCGTTGGGACATAAGCTTAGGTCTAAAAACCTAATTCATAATTAACAAAGTTTCAACAGTATCGAGTGTATCGCAAAGGTTCATCCTCAAATAATCTCTGGTCAGCAGGGACGAGGCATGTGCCCTCTGATCGGGTGGTTTGGCTTCAAAATGACACCATTATATTACGATTACCCTTATGTTCCCCAACGGTGTCAAACCCTTGAGTAATAAATCATAGGGTATATTCAATAAGCATGAAACCCTATATCAACTAAGGTAGATTTAAATATATCCTCTTAGACAAATACCAACCCAAGTCTACAAAGTGATCTTGGATGAATTAACCCATCGATGTCGATAAGGTACCTTCTGTTAGGTTGGATCGACTACTCCTCTGACTAAGTAGATGAGGGACCATGACAGCCCGGGATAATGGAACCATAGGATCTTGATCGAGCTCATCTTCATTGTCACGACCCGACCCGAGATGGATCTCGCCCGCACCGGGCCGCGACCAGCCAAACAAACAGACAGACCAGGATCTGGCTTTGGAATTTGCTTTGGAACTGATTCTTCCAAATATT